GTATACAGTATTAAGTCCTTTGCAGACTGTATGTCGGATTCATTCTTTTACGATTATCAAGTCACACTGTGCGATGATACCCAATTAAAATCTTGATATCAACCTGGCCAGATTGTACGATTTGCTTCAGTCCTGTCGTCACATTCTGCAAAGCTTTTGTCTGGGACGGCAAAATCATGGCATAAGACTGCTAAAATCATACAGTATGTGGGGGGCTTAAGGCATGAGGGATTTTGAGTCTGTAAAAATTATTTACGAGCCTCGATCTGGGGTTAATACACTGGTCTAGACCATTACTGGCTACAGGTTCATCTGCCTCACCTAAAGCCCATTCCTGTGGGAAGCTGCTATAGACCACCAAGTGCTAACAGTCAGTATCTGGATAACGTGTGAAATAATTGATAATGTATGTGATATCAACGGAGAGGTACATTTTCTGGGTGATTTAAATATTGACTGGCTTTCATCAAGCTGCCCAAAAAGCTTCAAACTGTAACCAGTGCCTCCAACCTGGTTCAGGTTATTAGTCAACATACCAGGGTAGTTACAAACAGCACAGGAATGAAATCATCAACATGTATTGATCACATCTTTACTAATGCTCCAGAAATTTGCTTGAAAGCAGTATCCACATCCATCGGATGTAGTGATCACAATATAGTAGCCATATCTAGGAAAACCAAAGTTCCAAAGGCTGGGCCTAATATAGTGTGTATTAAAGGTCAAACAATACGTTTTATAGTTATTCTTATGTTGTTGATGTAAATAATATTTGTTGGTCTGTGGTGTGTAATGAGGAGCAAAACAGACGCTGCACTTGACACATTTATGAAATAACTTATTCCAGTTACTAATAAGCATGCACCCATTACGCAAATGACTGTAAAAACTGTTAAATCCCTGTGGATTGATGTGGAATTTAAAAATGATATGGTTGAGAAGGATGAGGCAAAAGGAATGGCAAATAAGTCTGGCTGCACAACCGATTGGCAAACGTATTGCAAATTGAGTAATCATGTGACTAAACTGAATAAAAAGAAGAAGAAACTACACTATGAAACAAAGATATATGACATAAAGAATTATAGTAAAACGCTTTGGAGAACCTTAAATGACATTTTGGGAAAAAAAGGTAAACTCACCTCCATCATTCATTGAATCAAATGGCTAATTCATCACAAAACCGACTGATATTGCAAACTACTTTAATCCGTTTTTTTATTGGCAACATTAGCGAACTTAGGTAGACATGCCAGCAACAAATGCTGACACTACACATCCAAGTATATCTGACCAAATTATGAAAGACAAGCATTGTAATTTTTAATTCTGTAAAGTGAGTGTGGAAGAGGTAAAAAAAATATTGTTGGTCTGACAACTTGGATGGAAAATTACTGAGGATAATAGCGGACGATATTGCCACTCCTATTTGTCATGTTTTCAATTTAAGCCTACTAGAAAGTGTGTGCCCCCAGGCCTGGAGGGAAGCAAAAGTAATTCCGCTACCTAAGAATAGTAAAGCCCCCATTACTGGCTCAAATAGCTGACCAATCAGCCTGTTACCAACCCTTAGTAAACTTTTGGAAAACATTGTGTTTGACCAGATACAATGCTATTTTACAGTAAACAATTTGACAACAGACTTTCAGCACGCATATAGGGAAGGACATTCAACAAGCACAGCACTTACATAAATGACTGATGATTGGCTGAGAGAAATTGATGATTAAAGATTGTGGGGGCTGTTTTGTTAGACTTCAGTGCAGCTTTTGACATTATCGATCATAGTCTGCTGCTGGAAAAAAACCTATGTGTTATGGCTTTACACACCCTGCTATACTGTGGATAAAGAGTTACCTGTCTAACAGAACACATAGGGTGTTCTTTAATGGAAGCCTCTCCAACATAATCCAGGTAGAATCAGGAATTCCCCAGGACCCCTTACTTTTTTTCAATCTTTACTAACGACATGCCACTGGCTTTGAATAAAGCCAGTGTGTCTATGTATGCGGATGACTCAACACTATACACGTCAGCTACTACAGTGACTGAAATGACTGCAACACTTAACAAAGAGCTGCAGTTAGTTTCAGAGTGAGTGGCAGAAATAGGTTAGTCCTAAATATTTCAAAAACTAAAAGCATTGTATTTGGGACAAATCATTCACTAAACCCTAAACCTCAACTTAATCTTGTAATAAATAATGTGGAAATTGAGCAAGTTGAGGTGACTAAACTGCTTGGAGTAACCCTGGATTGTAAACTGTTATGGTCAAAACATATCGACATAACAGTAGCTAAGATGGGGAGAAGTCTGTCCATAATAAAGCGCCACTCTACCTTCTTAACAGCACTATCAACAAGGCAGGTCCTACAGGCTCTAGTTTTGTCGCACCTGGACTACTTTTCAGTCATGTGGTCAGGTGCCACAAAAAGGGACTTTGGAAAATTGCAATTGGCTCAGAACAGGGCAGCATGGCTGGCCGTTGGATGTACACAGAGAGCTAACATTAATAATATGAATATCAATCTCTCCTGGCTCAAAGTGGAGGAGAGATTGACTTCATCACTACTGTATTTATGAGAGGTATTGACTTGTTGAATGCACGGAGCTGTCTGTTTGAACTACTGGCGCACAGCTCGGACACCCATGCATACCCCACAAGACATGCCGCAAGAGGGCTCTTCACAGTCCCCAAGTCCAGAACAGACTATGGGAGGCGCACAATACTACATGGAGCCATGACTACATGGAACTCTATTCCACATCAAGTAACTGATGCAAGCAGTAAAATTAGATTTAAAAAACAGATAAAAATACATCTTATGGAACAGCGGGGACTGTGAAGCAACACAAACATAGGCACAGACACATGCATACACACGATAACATACACACTATACACACACGTACACATGGATTTTGTATTGTAGATATGTGGTAGTGGTGGAGTAGGGGCCTGAAGGCACACAGTGTGTTGTGAATGTATTGTAATGTTTTTAAAATATATAACTGCCTTAATTTTGCTGGACCCCAGGAAAAGTAGCTTCTGCCTTGGCAGCAGCTAAGGGGATCCATAATACATACAAATACAAATACTATAGGTGAGCCTAAGGCCCTGCTAGAATACTTTAAAATGCGTCCTTCCTTCCTTCTTTCCCTTTTCAAAAGAGCCTACATCTTTTTCCTTATCGCCTTTGCTGTCTGGTAGCTGGTCACGCCGCTCAATAAATTAATACAATTAGAGGATCAAGCAATTTTATTTTGAAGTAAGTCAGTTGAGGTCATTGGGTTTCATTCAAATTCCAGATGATTTTATAACATTTACGTGTTGAATTGAAAGGTTTTCTTGTTACTTTACATTTACATACTGGTCCCCCATGTGAATCAAACCCACAACCCTGGTGTTGTGAGCACCGTTCTCTACCAACAGAGCTACACGGGACTTAGAGATAGTGCCTCTTTTACAGCGCCAGCAAAGGGACCAAAGCCAAATTCTCCTTCAGTACTTCAAATAACTGTAAATAGCTGAGGCTTTGGCAGTACCCTTTGAGAAAGTTAGACTAACCTGTAAATGAACTAAAAACATTCCCCGGCAGACCTCGCAGTGAATTGCTCAAAGAAATTAAGCATGTCAGCCATTAGCACAGGGGCATTCCACATACACATCCAAGAGGTTACACCAGGCCACAGGGTTCCTAGACTAATATGGACTCCAACTGGGACCTAACGTTCTCCTTGGAACCCCAAGCTTCACTCCGCAGCTGCCTGTGGAAACCTTTTTGGACCGCAGATACAATAGAATGGCTCTATAATTTGTCATCTATCCTAAATTATCCTCAGAATTGACCCCCGTCCCTAAGCTCCCAAGGACTTACTTTTAAGAATGTTGCTCATCTGCCACAAATGGAAGCACCCACTCTTTATTTGGAATATCCTCTATCCTGGCCTTGGCACCTGTTTAAAAGGACATACACAGACAATGCACCCTGCTTAAGGTATGCCATAAGCACATTTTGAGCACACTGCCTCACCTCTTACATAAACGTGCCATTTCAGTGATATGTAGTTGCAAAGTCATTGTTTTTGAATGTGGTAAAGACCTGTCAGAGTGGCTGTAGAAGCCATTGACATGATGGGCGGTCGTGTGAAACGTGTGTGTGGTCTTGTTCCCTGGAGTTTGGCTATGTGACCTTTGACCAGTGGCATGAATGTCAGTGTGACCTGAGAGTCAGAGGTCAGTGGTGGCTGAAGGCAAAGGCATGGTTTTTTTGTTGGTCAGAGACACCAGGTTGATCAGCTGTCAGCTTCTCAAACCTACTAACCATTGACGACTTGTGATGAGTGCATGGATAATTTCATGATATTGAACTAAGACAGACAGCTAGACAAATAAACCACATTGACTACCATCAGCAACACACCTTTTCTTAAAAATACATGTTTATTTCATATCCCACAAAACAACATAATATTAAGCTGTACACATTAACAAAGGACGCAATTCCCAAAAAAGTATTTGTTTTCTTACAATAAAATTTGTCAGGTACTTCTGATGGAAGTACGTTGGGTGGTCGTTCCTCTTCCAGTAGCTCACAAAGGTCCATTGCAACAGACTTGATACATCTTCATATATTTTTTTGCATTGTTATACCTACCCGATACATGTAATCAACCTAACCACAGGCTAGTAGACAGCTTGAGTTATGACTGATAAATAAACCCTATTGCTTTGAGGCAAATGATAGAGGGAAGCAACATTCAGTTACCCTTACGGAACAGTGGTAAAGAGGCTTCTGTAAGGCTTTTAAGAAAATAAAATATTTCAATGATAAATACAAAATGAACTACAATTTACAATCAAACATGTTTAAACACATTACACATTCAACCCATAGAAATATTTCAGACAATAACAAAGAGGAAAGACACAATTTGGTTGCTCAGGTTTGGTTCAATCTGAAGCATGCGCATCATCCAGGGTTTGAAGTTAGGAGAGTTTATGGTTGAAAATTCTGTGGCCGGATCTTCATCTCCACTCTCTTCAGGGAGTAGTTGGGCCCGTGCCAGCCGTACCAATTGATTCCATCTGTGCTCTTGCTGTGGTCGCCATAACGATAGAACACGCCATTCAGGTTGGAGTCAGTGCAACAGTTGTACCAGTAACCACCTGTAGGGAAAAAACGGTGATAATGCAGTCATTGGAAAGAAATTTAAAGGTGTTCATTATGTGAGTTAAACCAGAGTTAAGTATTTTGGCCCTCTTGTACCTTTGCGTAGTGAAGCGCAGTCGTCCACACATTTGTCATTGTCTTTGCCCTTGGTGCTGAAGTTGGTGTTGTTGTGGTAGCGCAGAGAGTCCCCAGCATTTCCACTGTAGTTGGCGATGAAGAGTTTGTAGCTGTTCAACTCGTTTTTTACTGTGAAGTAACTGTACTCTGCATAGCGGGTCTGACCTTCCCAGTCCTGCATTGGAGAACAGAAAACACAAATAGTACATGATTTAGATATTTGCTGCACATCTTGTGGTAAAACTATGCAACTGAGAATATTGAACTAATGTTATAACTTTTGGTGGAGCTAGAGGTTTACCGCTTGCCCATGAGTTGTTTTCTTTTTACTGTGTTTTTTTTAACTGTGTTTTGGGTGGTGTATCTTCTTTTGCTTTCAGTATCTGGGGCCTGGTCTGGGAAGGTCTGGGCAGCTAGCCTGTTTTGAGGATCCCACCCTCAGCCCCCCTTCGTACCTCCATCTCTATCCTTAGTGTGGTGGGCTGCCTTGTCAGACGGAAGATGTTTTCATTGCCTAGCCAAAAGTCTCCTCGGATGGTGCCAAAGCCATTCTTGTACTGCTTCCAGTCGCGGTTGAAGGAGGTCAGGCCCACCTTGCGTCTCTGGATGAGCGTCCAGCCACCACCATTGCTCTCCATGTCACAGAAGACCTGAAACCAACAGCAGAGGTTAAACAAGCTACCCCAACACGTCTGTGAAAAGTATGCCACAATCCTGGCATTCTACAGAGACTACAATGTAGCATGGATCTGTGAACGTAAAACTTTTTTGTAGTTCCAGGGTTATCACTTACGTCAATCTCAGGGGTCCCCAGGAAGTCATCTGCAGGTAATTTGTACTCCCCAGAGATCTTGTAGTTCTTGGTGTACAGGGATGCACAGTCGTAGATGGCATCTAGAAAATAGATTAGAGATGGCCAAACCAGATGCCGTTTCATGGCGGGTTTTAAAAATGCAAATTGACTGAAAACGGTATCATGGGAATAGATGTCTGGCAGAGAAGTCAAAGAATTTGGGATTGAAGGATATTATACACAGCATGGTTCAATTTCTTTGCATAGTTCTCTCCATTGTTTCTGTGATGGTACGGTGATGCCATTAGAGGTGCTCTGAGATCACTGGGGAGAAATGTATCCAATGCATCAAAAAGGGGCTCAAGTGTTTTCATGACTAGAGGCTGGTGGAAACGCCATTCCAATCTTTGCTTTTCTTCATGCTCTGTTTCCCTGTCTGCACAGTGTCTCTGTAATTTGCAGAGTCTTTATAAAGCGCTTCTCTGTTCACTGTGCCAGCATCATAAAAGTGGCACTGCTAAGACTGGCTAACAGGGTATTAAAATAAAACACTGCGACATGCCTGGCTAAATCTCCCCACAGTGATTAATAGTTTGGTTAAGTTCAGATGATGGATGGAAACAACTGGCTTTGATAGAGGTGGTCTTTATTGACAGACTTCATGCAGACGGGACACTTACAGTTCAAATTATGGCTTTTGGCTACCATGAGACACCCAGACAAGTTTGCACACTATAATCTTCATTATCACCAATTGATGGCAGCTGTCTGGTGCCGAAGATTCGGAGCGCCCACGGCTAATTATAGTTTTCAATGTCCAAAAATATGTTTACAATGTCCTGTAAATGAAAACAATTGTATATTCTGAATTCCTTTCTTTTTTTTCCTTTAATTTTTTTTTACAAAGAACAATGGCCTACATACCAATGTAATTTACCCTTTTTGGTTGTTTGTTTAATAATAGCTGTCTGAAACTGTGGGCTAATATCTCTGTGAGGGGTATTTTTAAGTCGATTGTTTTCTGACAGCAGACTGACTGATGTGGTCATAAAAAGGAGACCAACCAAATTTCCTGTGTGTCTGACATTAGGTGTGTGCTATGAGTATTTATGGCAGTGTGTTATGTATGGCAGCCAGTGATATGATTTTCACACCTGTGGAGAGTGTCTGGAAGCAGATGCTGAACAGTCGACAGAAAGGGAGAGAAGTATCGTCTCGGTCTAAACTGAACTGGGTCTGCCAATGTGGAGCAGGCCAGATTTCCACTCTGGCCATTTGACACAGTCACTACTGTACTGTACTACTGCATTCTACTACTCATAGCCTATTGTTTTCACCAGAAAACCATGTGTTTTACCACTACTACCACTATTAGTCAATTTAAAAAAAGGTTTGAGAATCACATTCACTGAAGTTGAAACTTTCACAATGAAAATTAAATGAATGATAACAACACTACATTTTTCATTCACACTAAAGTAGTGATTTGTTCCTCTGCTACTTTGTTGCCTGGCCCAAGAACCTGGGACACATCCACAATGTAGGTTCTTACCTGATGTGGTCTGAGTGACGGACTGGGCGGCTTGCAGCTGCATGATCTCCACCCGGTTGTTGATTTCAGAGTACTTGCTCTCGGCCTCAGTGACGCGGGACTCCTGCTGCCGATTCTGCTTGTCCAGCTCCATCATCTGCCTGACTACGTTCATCAAGTCTGTCTCCTGCTTGCGGCCCAGCTCCTCCAGTAGGCTGGTCAGGTTGGCCACCTGCACCTTCAGGGAGCGCACTACATCGCAGCACTGCGCCTTTGGAGGCTTGGGTGGCGCCAGCCTTTTCCTTGGGTTCTGCGCCCACGCTTCTGTCAGCACCAGCAGCAGCAGGGTGACACTCAGAGCCACCGTCCGCAAAGACATCTTTACAATTTTCTAAATTAAAAAGTGTTTTCTTGTCTTGCTCTGCTTGAATGCAAGCTGTCCTGGTCAAGTCTGATTCTTTAGCGGTGCCAGAGGTCCTGAAGAAACTGAGTGAACAGGATTGGATTGGTTGAGTTAGGAATCTAAGTTCTGACTGGTTGAAGTGAAGCTTCCTTTGGCCAACTGTTTTCACAGGCTCTTTGCTCCTCAGTAAAAGCACTGCTGTGGCTGGTGCATCTTAAATATCTTTACATATGCGTCCTCCCCTTTTTTGGTTGTGCTCACAGTTGCTGACCCCCCTTCAACCTCCAACGCTCTGGGCAGAGGGGTCTCTCTCTCTCTCTCTCTCTCTCTCTCTCTCTCTCTCTCTCTCTCTCTCTCTCTCTCTCTCTCAACATCGCTCACTCTTATTGGTTCTGCCCTGTGCCTTGTTTCTTTGCAACGTGTTGAAAGTTTCAGAGGGACAGATTGTTTTTTGCCCTGTCTGGAAGAGTGAAGAACAAAGGCTCCTGTCTGAAGAGCTCACACTTCACTGGCACATGTGGTCTTACCCAGTGGAATATCCCCTTCCCTGGCTTTGTATTCAACAGCCTTTCATTCCCAATGACTCACCTTCATACAGAGGCACACCTTGCTAAAGAATTTTGATACTTGCATCAAGCTTTGATTTAACTGCTTAAAGTAGAAGTATATGTACAATTTATCTTTGGTTTCGCCTTCACACATGAAGGTACTTGTCCTTGTTAATGATAGTTGAGTGGCACCCTCGGGGGGAAGATTCATCAATAAACGCAGCCTCTTTACATGCCAAAGGGATTGGTTATAGCCTCCATGCGGCCTTTTACGTTTAATTATTAAATCATCACTCACTGGTCAGTTTATTAGGTACACCCATCTAGTATCGGGTCGGACCCCTCATTGCCTCCAGTTAGCTTGCCTGTTAGCTTGCACGATTCTTGCCATTCTCCTTCGACCTCTCTCAGCAACGAGCTTTTTTCTCCAACAGGACTGCCGCTGACTGGACGTTTTTTTTGTTTGTTGCATTATTCTCGGGAAACCATGGATACTGTCGTGTGGAAAGCCCAGGAGGGCAGACGTTTTTGAGATACTGGATCTGGCATGACTCACTGTATCTAGGAGTGATCCATTTTTGTGAACGGGTTAGTGTACCTAATAAACTGTGTATGTCCAATGAATCACTGTGTGTGTTTATTTCATGAAAATACAGTGCCTTCAGAAAGTATTCACACCCCTTGATTCTTCACATTTTGTTGTGTTGCAGCCTGAATTTAAAATGGATTCAATTGAGATTTTGTGTCACTGAACTAAACACAATACCCCATAATGTAAAAGAGGAATAACATTTTTCGACATTTTTACAAATTAATAAAAAATTACAAGCGTAAATGTCTTGAGTCAGTAAGTATTCAGCCCTTTTGTTATGGCTAGCCTAAATCAGTTCACGAGTAAACGTGCTTAATAAGTCACATAATAAGTGAAGAAGCCGGATGTTGAGGTCCTGGGCTGGCGTGGTTACATGTGGTCTGCGGTTGTGAGGCCAGTTGGATGTACTGCCAAATTCTGTAAAATGACGTTGGAGGTGGACATTCCTGCAGTTAGCATGCCAATTGCACGCTTCGCTCAAAACTTGAGACATCTGTGACATTGTGTTGTGTGACAAAACTGCACATTTTAAAGGGGAAAATGGTAGATGACTTATCTTTAATTTCAGCTCATGAAACATGCGTTTTTATTTTTAATTTTCCTCATTGTAATTCTCACAATTTCAGAGTGTTATTTTGTCGTCATAGTGTGGAAATATCATTAAAACATATTTTGACTGCACTGCCCCTTTAAGATGCAAAGTACTCTTCATTGCAGGTTATTGATGTCACTGTGTGTTTCTCTCCCTTTCTAGCACAGAGGCTTTTAGTAGCTTGCACAGTTGGTGGGTCTTTCTATAAATATACTGTCCAATGTGTGACATTGGAATCAACATCTCAAAATAGTTTGAAACAAAAATAAAAATGATTTTCATGCAGTTCTACATGTGTAGAAAAATACAATTTGATAAATGCAAATTAGCCCATAACTCCATCTATACAATAACATAGGCCTAGGAATATACATCCTTTAAGCAGGGTTCATACAGACATTGGCAAGTCAAATTCATGGACTTTCAGGGACTTTTTCAAGCACTTAATTGTAATTTTCAAGGACCTCAATTTGATACAATTGTATAATTGATATAATTGTACATATAGGGCATAATATATGGTTTCTGCTGGATTGGATCTTGACATGTGTTTTAGGTTACCTTCAGTATTTGTTTCCCCCCAATCAACCATCTTGTAATAATACATTTGTTTGTCTCTATACAAGTCTAGGGAAATGAATTTAAGAAACAGCTTCGTCTTTAGAGAGTTGTTGGCCTTTCATTGTCTGCCTTTGACTAAATGTTTTCTACCTGTGATTAATTCCCGTAAACATGACATAATGTTCCACTATATCCTTACATTTTTCATTGTATTAACTCTACTAATTAGACTGTGCATATTTTCCCCTACTGCTGCACATGTTGCCTTTAGATATTAAAGTAAAAAATGCATTATTGGCGCTATTATCTTCAATATTTTGCATCATTTATTAGTAACAGAACAGCGTAGTCTTTTGTCTGACCTGTTTTTAACTAAGAGAAATCTTAGTTCACCTCCATAAAGGATCTAGTTCAAAAGGGGCATTCTCATTTTGACACACAAGTGGAATCCTTTGAATCATTTCTGCCAATTTAGCAGCATGTAAAATCTCTAGTTCCACAACTTGTTCTAAATCCTGAATATGGCATCCAAATCTTGGCCTTGCAACCTCTTTCACAAGAAACATATTTCTACAGTGTGAATAAAGACTTACAGGAATATTAATCACAGTATTTTCCCCATAACTCGGAAACGGCAGTGCCCACTGCATATTGAGTATATTTTGTTATGCATCCTATTCTTAATAAGTCATGGGCATAAGTCAGTCTTTAGAAAACAAAAACAGTGCTTTGTGAGTCACATCTCACTCTTAAGCAATGTGTCCCTGAGGCCTCGCTTCTCAATGGGCCTGGACTCTGTCATACAGTGCTGAAAGTTCCTGTTGGATGCTGGTGCATACTGTTAGCATCATGCTGCTTTTTCCCTTGGTTTCATTGTTTTCTCAAAATTGTCTCTTCCTTCACACCATGTGCTGTGTGAAGAATGCAGAACAAACCTCCTCAAAGACCCCCTATTTGTATGGCCCCCCATGGATAACCCTTACATTTTGCCGTGCCATTTAAAAAAACACTTTAAGAGCTTCGAACGCAATGGTCCTCTACCTTTGATAATCGTGAGCTGATGGAGCAAATGGTGGTGTGTTTATCGTCAGAAGTTGCTCACCGCCAGATATCTTTTCCCGAAAACCCCCTGGAAAGTGAGCAGAGGGCCAAGCTGTCAGTCTCAGTCCAAGCACTCATGGGTTCAATTAGGGGGAAGGGGGGTAATGGGAGCCAACGAGTTCCAGGTCTCCTTTCTCAGAGCTAAAATGATATATTTAATAAAGTAACGTCTTCCACTTGAAGTCAAGTACGTCGGCACAGATGACCATCTTTAAAAAAACCATAGAACATTGCTTAAGTTGCTGGAATTAGATGTACAAATGCAAACATTCGTTTTTCCTTTTGCTTTTTGTACCAGTACAATATGCAGACGGCCCTGCCTAAGAAATGCTGTACTGTCCACCAGAGCTGTTGCTAGAGATTTTAATGTTCATTTCTCTACCATAAGCCACCTCCAACGTCGTTTTAGAGAATTTGGCAATACGTCCAACCGGCCTCTCAACTGCAGACCATGTGTATGGTGTCGTGTGGGTGAGCGGTTTGCTGACGTCAACGTTGTGAACAGAGTGCCCCATGGTGGTGGTGGGGTTATGGTATGGGCAGGCATAAGCTATGGACCACGAACACAATTGCATTTTATCGATGGCAATTTGAATGCACAAAAATACTGTGATGAGATCCTGAGGCCCATTGTCAGGCCCATTTTTTAAAGGTATCTGTGACCAACAGATGCATATCTGTATTCCCGGTCATGTGAAATCCATAGATTAGGACCTAATGAGTTTATTTAAATTGACTGATTTACTCGTATGAACTGTAACTCAGTAAAATCAAAGAAATAGTTGCATGTTGCGTTTATATTTTTGTTCAGTATAATATAAATATTAAATTACCTGTCCCTTACCTTCTGCCTTTGCTGTTATTTCCATCAATTTGGTGGTGATGTGAATGTTTCTGTCATTCTTTTTGGTTTGTACTGAGCCAATGCCAAGTATATCTGTGGTTCATAGCTATATGGATGAACGATTAGAAAGATTTCTAGAAACTTGGATAACATCGTTCTCGGACGGGGTAGCTATTTATTTTAATTCCAAACAGGGAGTGTTTAGTTACTCTTTATTCTCTCTTCCAGATCAATATCAACTTAACTGCCGGGTGGTAGTGGAGCCAGTATAAAAATCTATTGACCGTTAGTGTATTGATAAGCTGGAAGTGTAATTATATACTTTATAAATGTATTGATCAATTTGGAAGTGTATTAATATAGTGTTTAATATACTATACTATGCTTTTCAAATACACTGGGTTCTTGCTTATCTCTGAGGGCTACTTGTATTCTTTATTTGGGCTTACATTTCTGTCATTTATTAAATTTAAGCAGAAGGAACAGGATGTACAGAATGCCTCCATGTGAGAATGCTGTTCAATATTCAGCATGATTTATTTGTTAAAAAATTGGAATAACGTGGCCTGACCCACTAAAATCTAGATAGCTAGGCATGCCTTGCAGTGCAATAAATGGTTCCATATTCCACTATAATGAGTGCCTCAGTATGCGCCTGGGCATCCACCAAGTGTCTGAGCAGAAGAGCTCAAGGCCTTGCATGCCACTGGCGGGTCTGGTGGCTCACGCTGCCTTGGC